ATTAAACAGATTTATTTAAGTAAACTAGAGTATATAGCTTACAAGATTTAAATAATTAAAAACTAATAAAATTTAACTTTTATAAAATAATTGCCAAGTTTTGTTTTGGAGTAATATATGCGTATATAATATTATTTAGTTTGATTATGTTTTAAAATTGTATCAAGTCCAATACACTGAATATTTTTTACTTTATTTTAACCGTAGTTTACGTACACCTACCCCGGGATGGGTCTAAACAAAAGTCGGTTACCATAGTGTTCGACACTAACTCAGCAGGTGATTATAGGTGGCACGTGAAGGTCACGCAAATTGACTGCAAACTCGGATACAAATGGCAATTATTGCCGGACAACAGCCAGTCTGAGTATCTGCCGGCGCCTATCGGTTGCCTACAAGTGAGTCATTGTTGTGAATAAACGATAATTAAAAATATACTGTATTTACTCACGAGCCTTAAAATTATAAGGTGATCCAAAAATATGCGTAACTAGGTTATAAATTTAAAACATAAACTAGCTATGTATTTTGTGAGTGCCTTTAAGTCATATAATAAATTTATACAGTGTAAGTTGCTATTCTCTATATTATATTTAACCATTGTCGTAAATATTTATTATATTGTACGTAATAATATTTTTCAGTACTATACGCCACCTACCAGTACAGTCGAGTCGTTCAATTTTGGTCAATACATAAATAACGTCGACTACGCCCTATGCATCAAACGTCAACCTAACACGTGCAGGGTCACCTACCAGGCCACTGATAATAACTGGTCTCTAGATAGCACCCAGCTATCAAAGGACCTTGCTGGTGTAGGTGATGCAACATGTAACACTGATTACCTATTAATACCTGGTGGGTCGGGTAGTTCTGTGCCGGTTAACACCCCTACATACGATCGTTATTGTGGTGGGCGTCTAAATTGGCAAAACGGGGTGGCGTTGGAAGCGCCGGTAGTTTCGAAAACTACCGGTCCTATTGTGCTATGGTTTCATTCGGACAGCATTCAGGACCCGACGGTTAGTGAGGGATTCCGTTTGCGTTACGAACAGAGCTCTGCTGAATGTACTACCGGTCCGTATAGGGATGGCACCGGTAGTGAAGCGGTTAAAAATTCTGGCGTCAAAGTGGTGTAAGACTTTTGATAATTGTTTTTATAAATTACATTGGTGATAAATTAATCAAATTATATTATTTTAAAAAATACTTAACATTTATAATGTAATGAATTAATTTTTATAGAAAATTATACATTATCTAATTAATTATTACATATTGGTAAATATACAAATATATTTATATTGATAATGTGTTAGCGTATAAATATTAGCTCACCAAGTTATATTTAGATATTAGACACAGTAAAATATATAATCTTATAATTTCATAATTACTTTAAAAATCTACAATGTTTTATTTAAACTCCTATATTTAACATTATATAATATATCCTAATTTTTAAAATAATTTATCATTTTTAAATATACAATAATTTATATATTTGCAAAATTGTTATTTAACAAAATAGATATTCAATTGTAAATATCAAAGTTGCTACTAAATTACAAACTGTCAGCACGATAAATATATTTTTTAATTGTAATACATTCAGTCCGGTTTCAATAAGTTTCTTACTATTACTTATATTGATGTTTGAATACGTATTGACACGTTTCACGTAATAATTGACTTTCCAGTGGTCAAAAAGTCCGGACCTTGATAAGTCTAAGATACTAATAAATAATTATTTAATTAAGGTCTTAAATATTATATTAGGTTATTCAAATATGCTGATAATTTATCATTGTTAATAATATTATTATGCATACATTGTATTGAATTCCTTAACATATGAGAAGTGTTTATTAAATCCAATGGCAATATAATCATTAAAAATATTTGAGTCCATACTAGGTGCGAGGTCATATTGAATATGTTTTACCCGTATTAGGTACTCGATAAAATTTCGTTCAAATATTAAATAATAATTTGGTAAGGTATGTCCTATTGAATTAATAATTGAATCAGGATTATCCACCAAGAAAATTAATTTATCAAAATTAGCAAGGTTGTTTGACATAGACTCCTAAATAATTATAATAATTATAATAATTTAATAGGATTTAAAAGAAATTAATTATTTCTAACCTCATGTTCCAAAAGTGCGTTAAACAAGTTAAACGTGCCCTTGGTCATTATGAATTTAATTTTCCCTTTTTTGTGCTCGCTTAATAATTCCTGTATGGTTTCTATACCACTATATTTCACTAACATAGCCATATCCACATACATTTGCCCACCGTAAAATAACCTCAATATAATTCCAGATAATATGCAAACCATAATTAAAGATTTCACTGAAAACGACCATGCTAATTTTTCCGGTATATTTTGCGATAGTAATATAGCGACAAAATTAACGGTACGCCCTAATTGTTTATTTGTGGCATAGTTTATAATTATATTCACGGTGTATAATAAAATTAACGAGCACATTATTATCAACCATATGTGCCAATCGAATGGTGCTAATAGGGATGAACTATATTTATATACATGAGATACCGGTGCCGCGAATGTATACGAAGTAATCATATGCGGGTAACTGAAGTGCATTACACCTAATCTATTATGTAGCATGCTAAATTCACCAATACCCATAGATTCATTCTAAACATACAAACAAGCAAAAATAATTACTTTATTTTTATTATTAAAAGTAAAAAATTATCATTCATACATTTGTGACTAGGTAACCTACCATCCCGTCCCACGTATTATTAGGCAATTTTGTGCCCCATTTATTATTGCAATCAATGTATCGGTATGTGAAATTGAAGTACCTACTTAAGGTTTGCATTAAGCTAGCTTCGAACCCTTCAAAATTACCATGTTTATATTTTAATAATCCACTAGATATAAATGGTGGGTTCTTTAGAAATACAATATTTAATTATACTATTTCAAACATACTATAAATTTAATTTATACTACCTCATTTGTAGCCACGTCAATTATTTTTCCGTTTAGGTTAGTCCGCATTATTTAAAGATTTAGTTTAGTCTAATATAATACGTTTAGTACTAGTACCATAATACTTGTTTATGTGAACTTATGATTGCTGAATTATTGCAAAATGTAATATAATTATGACAATTATTTCAATTAATATGAATAATCAATAAAAGACAAATGCAGCAATTTAGATATAATTAAAATAACATTTATAATTTGAATAATTATATAACCTTGACATATCCTTTTTAATTTGAAAGTAAAGTTATGGTAAATTTTCATTAAGGGTTTTCGCATTTTTATTATAATAAATATGTATTTTACTATAAAAATGCGATTAATGTTATTTGTTCAACATAGTAACAATTATACGGTATTAATAAATTTTTATAAATTTTTATTATACACTTGTTTATATTGTATGAATTGAGAAAATATTTATTGTGATAAAAGTTTTATTAGATAAAACATCATAGAATATAATATTGATTATTTTATTGATTGCAATTAATAATAGCCTAGTATTGTTTAAAAACAATTTATATTTTTTCAAAATAAATTTCTATAACATATCATACCAGGCTAGTGACAATGATTGATATAAAATATGAATAATATAAAGAATTAATGTTATATAGTGTTTAATAACATAAATGTAAAAGTTTTTATAATAATAAGATATGAAAGCATAATTTTTTTTATAAAATTAAGCAACAATATTTTTTATAAATAAATAAACAAAATGATTATTAAATATAATATATTATAATATTGCTCAGTTGACATAATTTGTTTTATTTTTAACATTATATTAACCTATGTTAATTATATTAAATTATATTATATTACAGCTATATAAACCTATTTGAAATAAATGAAAAACAATTAATTTATTAAAAATTAAGTAAAAATAACTTAATTTATTATAATTAATTAACAATTACTAATAAACACATAATTTTAAATATTTTATTTGCAAAATATATTAAAATAAGAATAAAATTATAATTTAACTATAAAATCTATATAATTTTTAAATTACTAATTCTCTAAATTAATATAAATAAACATGGTATATTTTTATATTAACATACTAGATAATTGATATGGAACAGGATTATTTTTGTATCAGCCATCTAATTTAAAAATAAATATTTGTAATTTTAAAATTAATTATAAGATTATAAACTTACAAACACTAATGCCACTTTCATTGCCACGTTTTTGAACAAGGTTATCCTTTCCATTGTTCTTTGATACTTTATTTTAAACATATATAAAACAGTCATTTTAAAACTTTTATACTAATTTATAAATTATTTATCAAACTACAAGTTACCCTGGTCACGTTTAACAGTATCTATCACTGGGTCAGTATCACTCGAGTGACATTTATCACTACCATTGCATTCTTTGGTACTTTTTGTACTAGCTGAACTAACCAGTACAATTAGTAAAACTGTTGAAACTAATAGGACTCGCATTATAGTAATAATACCCTGTATTTTTTAAATTAAACCTGGAACATTAATTTAAAAATTATAACTGCATTAGATTTAGTATTGTTGGAGATTATAAATAAATATAGTATTACAAATGTCATACGATTTATGTAGTATGATCATCAAATTAAAAATATATTTAGAAATTTGGTGTTCAGCATACATAGTACATTAATGTGCAGCATATGTCACTAATTTATTAACAGTGTTTATAATTATTTTTAACCTAGATCAGTATATCCCGATTATACTGATTATACTGTAGTGTATATTATGAGTTACACATAAAACTATTTATTACATACTATACACTTACGCATAACATGTTTTCATAAGCATTGTATTTATATTTAACTTTATTCACTGAGTTATCAAAAACAATAACAATTATAAATATACTTTATAATTAAATTATACAATTAAATAAAATAAATAAAATATACAAGACAGTTTTCTTACAGATAAACATGTAGACAAGGTTGTTATTACATATATATTTAGTAAACAATTAGGTTCCCGGTCTCACGACAACTATTTGCGGGTTATTCCTATACGGCTGGCGACGCACCCTTTGGGGGCCATTCACCACAACACGCGTTACGTACTGATTCTGACCGGACCCTCGGCGTCGGACTACAGTCTGTCTCATAGCTTGAGGGGAAGGCCTACGAGGTTTCACTTTAACCGGCAATACCTTAAACCGGTAGATATTGAAGCACATGGACTCCAGGGTAGTCACCAACAGGCATATACTTGATAAATATACTAGCACAGTCACTATGGATAGGAATTCCCATGTTATAGATACAATGAAACTGTTGTATAGTATGATGTATGGGACGAGTAGTCTATAGCCGATAGGGATACCCAGTAATAACAATGTATATATGGTGATTAGTGCAGTATGTACCACAAGTATGTAGGTTCTTGGTCGTTTTATGGCCACTAAACGGGCGTACACCTTGACACACATTAGTACTATACTAAGCACTAGTAATACGGAACTGAAATAGTTGAAATATTTTTGTAGGAATTTGAACTTGATCATAAATCGCGAGTTTATTGTGTAAGTGTTTAGCACGGATAGCATTGTTAATATATAAACATATCCCATAAATATTATTATATATATTATTACTTTTAATTTAGCTTCCATATTTAATTATTATATTAAAATATTTTCAATAAATCAGCTTAGCACATTATTTATTTAGCAATGGTAAGCATAAAAATAATTAAAGGTTCTTGTGTTTATTATTCACAGTATATATAATATACACGACTAATGTGTTTATTATGTGAAATACATTTTAAGTGAATATTCTCTACGCACGAGAGTAGTGTCTAATTATAGTATCATTCCTTATCTCACGAATACAGTCTTCACTCGATTTAATATACATTTTAAAATTCAAATTATAACTTATAATATACAGTATAATTTATAGTAATTTATAACTAATGCAAGAATAAAATGAAACTAAACGTATACTTAAATATAATTTTTAAAGATTTTAAAATTATTTATAATACTTAATAAGAATATTATATAATAATAAACAATATGTTATTTAAATATAAAGTGTATGCGCCGATAAGCTAATAATTTTTAGAGC